AAAGGGACTTGAGCCCTTACATTTAGATTGGGAATTCAACTAAACATCACCTGACCAATACGACCAGTAGTTAGTCAGTATTTTCAACGACCTTATAAAAAGTAGACCTCTAGAACCATTAATTGATCAAGCTCATTGCAATTTACAGCCTTGTTAGGACAATCTAAATGGCTAAGGGCAGATAGGAGGAAACAACAACTACATTGCGGTATAATTCACCAAGTAATCATATTTGTTTTTGTGCTTTAAAAACTCTCATTCCCTCCATTACTCATCCATAAGTTGGTTGTCTCATTTTGAGTTGTGAAACAATCTCCATAACGGTTCAATCTCCTTTCTATAATGAAGATATACAACTTGCATCTAGTAGCAATTTATAAGTACTTACTGTGACTTCTAATGACAAAAACCCAAGAAATTTCACTTCTACGAATGAACAAGAACCAGAATAAGTAGGAGAAAAGTTTTCAAAAACAGCTAACTTGACATCATATTTCTTCACAAAAACAGTGAACTTCACCTAAACAAAACGACTTTACAAGCCTAAACAGAGCAACATTTTCATTTTCTCAAAACTAAAACAACAAAAAATGCAGCATCTTTCAAAATAGAAACCGGAAAACAATTAAACAAAATCTTGAAAAAATCACATTTCAGGGAACAAAAAGGCCTTTTACTTGAGAAAATTTGAATTCTTTATCAATTTTATTTGACTTTAACACCAAAGATTTCACTCAACTCTACCCTATAAAGTTTCAATCTTCTAGTTTTGGCAAAGTACAGTAAGCTATATTAACAACAATAATCAGCAAACAAACAAAAACAATTAAAAATTGATGAACAACACCACCACCAACAATTAAAAAAAAAAAAAAAAAAAGAAATCGAGAGAGAGAGAGAGAGAGAGATCTTACTGGAAACACGATCATAGACATCAGCAGCAGACTCTCCTTCAGGAAACCTATAAAAGAACCTGCCAAACCTCTCTCTAGTCTCTTTAATCATCTTCATCCTCTTCTCTTCCTGAAAATTCCCAAAATCCTGTTCTCTGATCCTGCATTCCTCTCTCACTCCGATTATTCTCTTCCTGGGAAATGAGCGGCCGATCTCGCGGAGGGTGGTGCGGGTTCGCTCGTAAGGGGAGACGTAGAAGTACACTTTCCAGTTGTGGAGGCGCCCGTCTTCCGATATCACGCGCCGGATCTCGGCCCCAGCAGACTTCGCCTGGTCGATCCCTGCCTGGGTCACAGGGATCTTGTTGTCCGGTGTGGTTGTGTACGCAGACCCATCTCGGTTTCCATGGCTCTCTCCGTGACGAACCAGGATTATCCTCTTTGGTAGTGTCTTCTGGTGATGCCTCTGGTTCTGGTGATGGTGATGCTGTATCATTCTCTCTCTCTCTCTATCTATCTATCTAGGGCTATCTATCAAATTCATATATATATATGTAGAGGTGGGAAATGGGGATTGTGGGGGCTTGCTTGTGAAGGAAGAGGAGATTGACAGGGAATGATGGAGTGGAACGCTTATCTGTTAGAAAAGCGTGCGTGCGGTGCGGTCGTCAAAATCTCCGTACTTTGAAAAAAATTGGGTGTGCTGAATTTGAAATGGAATCAAACGATTTCACATTTCAGAGAGTTTCCTTGTGGGGGAATATTTTGTGGGTCCGGATGTATGGTCTGGTCTGTGATATCTATATCCTTTTGAAAAGATTATTATAATTAATTTTTTTGGTTAAAAATTATTTATAAATAATTTTTTTTGTGAAAAAAGAAATAGATTATAATTTGGAGAGTGAATTATAATCCACTTAGGGATTTTTTTAACTCCAAGGTATATGAGGGTTTTAATATCTCAATCTGAATTTTTTAAATTTTATTTTTTTAAAAAAACTTACATTTATTAGTTTGGTCAAAATCCCATAATCAACATTTATTAACTTTTTTCAATTCACATGTCTTTTCACATACCTACATTTATTAATTTGGTCAAAATTCTCTCATCAGCATTTAAAATCCCCTCATACAAATAATTATAGATACAACCCGTGTATAGTTACTGTAGTATCATTTTTAATTTCTCTCATACACTATGGTTAGTGATAAAATTGTTAAATTATTTTTATAAAAAATCTTAAAAAATATAATTTATATATTAAAAAAAATCTAAAACAAATATAAACATCTATAATTATCTCGTGTATAGCACGGGTGATAGGCTAGTATATATATAAGAAAAAATGACTTTTTTAAGAATATTAATGGTGGGAGTTTCAAATTCCTAAACTAATTTTGTTAATTTTTAAAGAAATAAAAAAAAATTATTGGCTAGTTCTTCAAGTCAAAAAAAAAAAAAAAATTACTCTAAGAAAAAAAACCATGTGTTCAAATTATCAGAATAAACCATAGATAAGTTATATTGTTTAAAATATCAAAATAATTTGATGATCAGAAACTCCCACACTCTCTCCTTAATTACAGTCTTGTATCCAAAAAGTAATATTAAATCAAAAACAATTCAAATAAAATAAAATATAATAAAGCCCTGCACTAATATCCTATTGATTTTAAAATTTCGACCAATTCAAAATAATATAAGTAAGAACATCAATCATACCTTTCTGAGAAAAATAATATATAAGTGAACTCTATGTTCTAAAAATCTAGTGCCTATTAAAAATACCGGGTACATTCATTGAATCGCCCATCCAATGCGGTTAATTCTAATCGGAATTTTCTTATTGTTTTAAAATAAAAAATAAAAAAATTAATATGAGATATTGACAATCTATTAAGCTTCTCACTAAAAATCTCATTTTAGCCTTATCACAAATAATGATGTATAAGATTTCACTTTATGTAAGCTGAAACAATTCTTCTACTTTAACTCTTCTTTTCTCTGAAATGATGGAGAATATAAAAAAAGAACAAAAAAGTTAATTGAAAGATTGATATCCAATGGAGATTTCCTTTAATTTGTTTAATAAGTTGAACCAATTCATTTGGGCGTTTCGGAAAAATTATATTTCGCTAACATACAGCAAATCATTTAGGCCCTAATTCTTTAATCTTACCGATACGCATCTTTAATATTTATATATCATCTTAAATCAATATTTAACATATATCACAATGTAATTGATCAAAAAGCCGAAAAAAAATTTCGGCAATTAACAACTCTATTCAAGGATCAAATCAACCAAATAGACAGTTACTATCCGTTATCCACCCCTAGGTCAAAGGACCAACCCAATCAGTATTACACCAAACATCTAATATACTTAAACTTTTTCAAATGTTTATTTTTAATCTTAAATAATTTAAACGGCTTGAAGTTAAAAGACAAGTACACAACAAAAACACTAAACAACTACAATTTTTAAATGCCGATAGCATTCTAGGTTTTATATAAGTCGAAAAACAATACTCATTTTTTATCTACTAATTCATTTTCCTGATCGTGTACACAACACAAACCTTAACATCCTGTCCTATTGGATGAAAAGGTTCGATATGCTTCACTAATCAAAAGCAGAATACTCAATCCAGTTACAAACCTACCTAATTATAGGTCAAATCTTCAGTTTCAATTATTCAAATCAATACCAAATCAAGCGTAAAGTCTTATATTATTGAATGAAATATACTATACGTATGACAATCCGTCGATTAAGACCAAGTTGAATTTAGTCCCAACCGAAAATCGAATTCATAGCCTAATCGGCTAAGTCAGTAAGTAAAGAAAAGCCTCGAACCCAATGTTCCAATAATCACATACACCATTAATCCCAATTAAAGACTTTTTTAATAAATTTATTTAAAATTTAAATAACTGACATTCAGGAAACCCATGAAATCATGCAGCAAATACATACAATAAACTGAAGGGTATGTATTATTCACCTAAAATTCCTATATAAGTGAAGAGAGGAACAAACTCCCACTCCTTTTATTTCTTTTCTCAAATGTGGGATTGAAATAATTTTTTAATTAATATAGTTTGGTTATACAACAATAACTTTCACAGTGGTGATATTATAATAAATAGTTAAATGGAAGTTAGTGACCACCAATGGATGAATATTATAACACTGGTTTAAAATTAAGAAAAGTCAATATAAAAATTGGTTGATTAATGAATTATAAGGATAATTGTGCTCTCTTCACTAAATCTTCATTTTACTATTTATTGGAGTATAAGATTCACTTTATATAAAGGAATAACAAAATACTTGAGCTTATATTTCTATTTATAATTTTTGACCCATTTATGAGTTGGTACACCACACAGTTTTATACCAAGGTTATATAACGAAGCAAACTTACTTTGTTCTTAATTTGAATATTTTTTTTACCGATATGCAAGAATTCCAAAACCTCATTATTTAGTTCCATATTTGAGAGTTTCAAAAATCTCACACAAAATTAATTTTTTAAATCAAAAAGTATGTGGGATTATATAAATATAAATTCCGTTAAAGGAAGCTCAACCAATGAAGGATTTTCTTAAATTATTAAATTGAATCAAATGAATTGAGATATTGATCATAAAGTTTCTCATAAAATATTTTTTTCACTTATATAAATGGGTTGATTCATTTTAATGTAAATGATCAGTTTTACTATATTTTCTCTTTTTTTTTCGTTGTAGGAATTTGTAAAATAAACAGGTCAAATGGAGTTAGTCAATGGAAATCATTCTTATAATGTATTACAATATATTAAAGAAAATTCAAATATAAACTCTTTAGATAATAAAGTGAGGTTGGGTTGTAGCTCCTAGAGAAATAGATCTTACTACTCTGAAAATCCGCAAGAAATTATAACACCTTGTATATCTAACGTAATAACAAATAAGATAAGATTTCGTAGAAAAATAACACCTGTTCGTTTGAACCTTTGCTCTACTTCTTCAAGTTCTCTCCACGGATTGCGCTTGTTGGAGAAAAACCAGTGTTTTTACCTACAAAGTTAAACCTCATAAACCTATATCTTATAGTTTTATTAAATCACTTATTTACTTGAAAAAGAAAGTGTGTAAAGTTAGCCCAAATAAAAGGTTTTTTTTTAATGATTATAAAAATTAATAAAATCAATATTTCGAGACAACTCCGGCGGTGATCGGGTTTCCAGCCCAAGATGTCGACAATCGGAATTTAAAGTCATCTATATACCAACCAAACTTATACCAAAGAATTTATTAAATTAAACTTTTTAATGTTATTTTTTTATTTTAAAATTTAAAACCTGCTCTTGAATTGAAAGTATACACAAATACTACAACTATTAAGATTCATCTAATATAAGTAAACCAACTCTTCTTTTTTTTTTTTTTTTGATCTGGTGATTATAAATAATAAAATGTTAACCAATATATTGGACGGAAAGTTTATTTCTTTTAATCAGAAATCTAGTCTGTCAATCTTTAAATCAAAATCATCTTTAATTTATCGAATACAAACAAATCTAATGCAATATATTTTGATAAAACCGCTAAAATTCGCGTTAAACCAAACAAATCAAATCAAATAAAGAAATGATAGCCTAATCGGTTAGGTCATAATTAATTAATTAAAACTTTTAAATTTAAACACTATATTGAATTAAAAACAGTGCAACAACCAATAATATTAAATGGGATATATATATAAGATTTTACTTTATATGAGTAAAAATAACTCATTTTTTCTAAATCTTTTCCGCGATGTGGGATATCAAGAATAAAACTAAACGAATGGAGATTTTTTTAATTGGTTTTAAAATTAAGAAATCAAAAAAAGTTGAATATGAGATACTTGAAACCTCTCAACCAAAGGCTCCTTACTAAATGGGAGATGAGAGTATAAAATTCTCTTTATATGAGTAAAACAACTCTTTTTTTTTTCCTTTTTTTCCCTGATGTAGGATTTATTCAAATAAAAGGTACGCCATGGAATTTTTCTTATTATTTAAAATTAAGAAAAATCAAGAAACTTAGTATACAGCTATTGATATGCTCTCGCAAGGCCCCTCACTAAAACATAATTTTCCTTGTATACATATATTAATAGATAGATCGATAGATAGATTTTAATAAAAGTCATTAAAGAAAGTCATATAAACCAACTAATCTCTTTATTTTGAAATTTTAAAGTGTGAAGAGCTTACCAATGTTTTTCTATTTTTTAAAATCTCAATTTTAACCCTATCAAATCTACTATATGTTGTCCCTAAATAGTTATGAAGCCACCCGGGCCGAATATAAAACCTCATACGGATGCGATTACTGTGG